TTTAAGTCAGCAATGTGAAGTCCTGTTTATTTTCTGCATTCACTTATATGTGTGTAAATTACATTAAGACCCAATGGTCTCACTGGACTGGACTGCAATTACCTCGAAGCTCCTGCTCGGCTGAAATCAGAGATATGTTGCATCTCACAGCCAACCCAGTAAACACCATGCCCAGTATAACTCTGCTCTGCTCCTCTGCCTGTCACTCAGTGGAGGACAGAGAGGAGCCTGTGGCCGCCCTTGGGAGAGAAAAACCTCACACTCTTGGACCAATACTAACGACACTTTTCAACTTACAGTCGCTAGTTTTGTCTGTAGGCGCAAAGTCCTTACCAGGGTCTGAAAAGTCGCTAAATCTAACGACAAAGTCAATTGGAAGCACTGGGTTGCAGAACTGCTCTAAGCGGAAATGCAAATGTGATTGCCTGGTAGCGTCAGCTGGGGCGCTGCGCCGGCTGGAAGCAGAGAAGCGCTGTGCCTTAATGCTGCCCAGAAGATAAAGTGACAACAGACATGCATGCGCATAATTTTTAACCCGTTTGCATTGACAGGGGGAGAATAAAGAATTTTCCAGGATAACTTAACCGTTTCCTGGACATTTGACCTTTTTCTCATTTTCCATGACTGGAAAATTGCTCAATAATTTTCCAGGTTTTCCAGGATGTGTGGGAACCCTGCCCTACTTCTATCCTCTTTCTGCTCTGTGAACACAGCCTGCAGTTTTGCCCATTTTAACCAAACAGTACCAGAAATTTCTCCACATTACTGATGGCCACAGCTAAGCCAGTTTTATTTGGACCTGAAGAGGTTCGTCATGTTCAACATGATGGCGGCGTGCATGGATGCAGCGGCCCCTTCAGGAGACAGCGAGAGTGAACGTTTAGTGTCATGTCTATCCCAGACATGCATTCCGCGAAACGTACTCATTAAATGATCCTGAAGAAACGCTGTCTTATCTTGCCTGTACTACTGTGTATGTACAGCAACATGACAATAGATTTCATTTGATTTGATTTTGATTCATGGTTTATTAAGAGCGCAGAATGTTTTGGTTTTGACCGAATCTGGTGCAAACTGTTCATTTTTAGCGATTTTTCCAATAAAATTTTGAATCAAGTTATTTTAAAGAAATATCACAAATCGACATTTTTAACTGATTTAAAAAAAAAAAAAAAAAAAGTGTAATTTTGGTATTATTTTTTAAAAGATAACATGCTTTTTAAACCTGACAGCAGGTCCTTCAAACTTTGAGAGGTAACAGGATAGGTATGTATATGAATATGCAGCTGCTGATTTGAGTCGTGCAGCACCAGAGTGCAGCTACAGAATAACCACACACACCTCTAAACACAACAGATTGGTTTTAATTTTAATTGCTGCCTGTTTTTATGGGATGACTGCAACAATCCTGTGTGTTTTTTGTATTTGTGCAGAATTATGAATGTGAAATAGCATAGGATTGATGGAATTGTTATATAAAAGCTGCTTCTGGTTGCAGATTTGTGGTCCTGTGTGCTCATGTAATGCTGCCCTGCTTTGTCCACCTTACGTGACATGCTGGAGAAACTTGTTCCATTTAGTGAGTTATTGTTGGCCACTTGTTAACAACAGTGCTACCCACTGGAACACTAAAGATCTATTGACTTAATGGCTAAATGATGTGCTGATTGTGTTTGCAGCCTGGACTGTTGTGCTACAGTTGTCATCTCACACTAAAGTAGCCATTCCCATAGTTCCTCATCCACAAAAGCCAACCTTTAGCAGTGAAGTCATTCAACACCGGGTCACTGTTGGAACGACAGATCCTTTTTTTCCTGCAGGATGTCAGTGCTGGCGTATTCTGTGGAGGAGGAGGAGGAGGAGGAGGAGGAGGAGGATGGAGATGGGTCTTGGCCTTTGGAACAACATTCGGTGTTGGTGATTCCATTTGGGGACTCATATCTAAGACAAGATACAAACAGATGGATACGGTACTATTAAAACAAAAGGCAGTCTCTGACATTAATGTTGAACCTGGTAAACACACTGACAGAAGATGTGCAGATGATCCAATTAAAATAATTTTGTCCACAGAGATGCAGCACGTTCCCTAAGCTTCTTAAGAATGCGCCCAAACAAATGCCTCAACAAATATATCTAGAACTATGCAAAACTATTGTACATTCAGTTGTGAACACAAGTTTACATACACTTATAAAGACCATCTATACCATGGCCAACCAAGAATCACCAAAATGCAGCTCTGCAATGAATTAGAAGCTGCTGGAACACAGGTGTCACAAACAAGTGTGTTTTACAGAGCCATGGGCTGAGAGGTTGCCATGCAAGGAAGTCTTTCCTCTAGAGGCACCTCAGGGCTCGACTGAACTTTTGTTGCTGATCACATGCAAAGAAAGGCCAAATGGAGGAAAGTTCTGTTGTCAGATGAAACAAAAATTGAGCTATTTGGTCACAATGGCCAGAAATAGGTTTGCAGGCGGTGATGCCTTAAACCTCAAGAACACCAAACTCACTATTTGACACCGTAGTGGTAGGATTGTGCTCAGAGGCTGTTTTGGTACCAGTTGAACTGGTGCTTTATATAAAGTAAATACAACAATTAAGAAGGAGGATTACTTCCACATTGTTCAGGTCCTGATTTAATCCCTGTCAAGAACCCGTGGACTGTGATGAAGAAACTGTGTCAGAATGCCAACACACTGAGTTTATTGTACTAATTCTGTAAAGAGCAGTGGTCAAAGATACAACCAGAGGCTTGTCAGAAGCGTTTGTGCTGCTATCAAAAGCGCCTCGTTAAGATGAAAATGGACAAGGGATGTTTAACCAAATAATAGCATTGCTGTATGTTTTTGACCCAGCACATTTTGTCATATTTCCAGAAGAGGTATAATAATTCTATCACAGATCTGAAATATCTTTCAGTTATTCCATCATAGAAATTCAGAGTTACATGAGTCATTGGAAACTTAAAACTGCCTTGATGTACGTGGTCTTTTTTGTCTCTAAACCTTTGTTCACAACTGTAACACACATAGAGAAGACTCCTTCACATAGGTTAAAGACAAATATGACAAATCTGAACAAATACAATGGGAATTACGAACACGGCACGGTGAAGGTATCAGTATTCTGAACATGATGAGAATACCAAGAAAAGTAAAGTCAGAATCAAGCAGAATCACTTTCAGAGGGCAAGAAATGACAACTTAGAAAAGCTGCACAGTGTTCACACTATCATGTGTACAACTGATTAATGAAACATTTAGGACTCCTTTTATTAATGTACATTCTTCATTTTTCACATTAAAGGTTCATCCAGGTTCGTCGCACATGGGGATTTTTTTTAAATGAAAGTGCTTTATAAATAAAATGTATTATTATTATTATTATTATTATTGTTGTTGTCGTTGTTGTTGTTGTTATTACATACTTCATAATGATCTTAAAACTATACTGTGCTGGAATTGTAAGTTTTAACCTGGCCAGTCTTCACCAGCTCATTGCCAACAAAAGTGCATGCCCCATGTCCTCGATCGCATATGTCAGAACACACACAGTGTACCAGACTACCTGTACAACCTGAACACCAGCTCATTTCATTCATTTCATTCATTCATTCATTCATTCATTCATTCATTCATTTCATTCATTCATTCATTCATTCATTCATTCATTCATTCATTCATTTCATTTCATTACAGCGAATAAGTAAGTGGCTGACAGCTTTTAGCTAATTGCACAAACTTGTCAGCTGAAGCAAAAATATTCAGCCTAAAAGTATTTACAGTATATGTAAGCTTGCAGCACTGATTTTAGAGCTACACACATGCATGTTCAAATTTACAAAACTGACACTACCTATATTAACAAAAGAGAGAATGTTGTGGCTGAATTTAAATGTCAATTATGTGCTAAAGAAAAAAAACAAAAAACGCATTTTAAAACTTTGATCCTGGCCTCCAAAAACCAGATAAAACCTGCTCCAAGCTGCAAAACCCTCCACTTTGAACGATTTCATTTTTAAACGTATAAAAATATAAATATAAAATTATTAAAGATATCAGTACCAAGAATTATATCATGCATCTAAATGTCATCACAAGCAAAACAGCTTTTTGTTCTACCTGATGAACCACTCAAAGAACAGGACAAAGATTTCCACGGTGCTAATCTTTCTGTTCACAGATCAGCTACTTGGAATAAACATTGTCATTAGAGATAGGTATCACACCTCAGTATTATACAAGCCCCCGGGTGACATTTCTAAATGCCAGAGGATAGATAAGTTCTGACATTAACGGTCCTGCTCTTGTTATGAATGTTGTGTTGTACATTCTTTCTCATCACTACAAGATATGTGTCTATTGTGCATTTTTCAAACACACTGAAGAGTATTTTATTTTGTGAGTAAAACCTGCAATGCTGTCAACAGTGCTCTGATCATTCCCATCAACGCATTAGTGTCTATAAAGGGATTTGCTAATTATTGTATTTATTTATGTAGAATATAATATCTAAAATAAATTCCAATTATCACATTATGGTACATGGTAGTGATGGGCTTAAAACATGTCCTTGGAAGGGGCTGCTTTAGAATCTTAGTTTATATAATACGTATGAGATAATAAAGCATTCTTAACTTAAACTGAAAAAAAGAAACAATTTAAAAAGCACTGATAAGAGTACTGTTAAAGTACTGGGTTGACAAGCGTGTCAGTAAGAGTAGTATTACCAGAAACATCTTAATGATACACATCCCTGATTGTCATCCCACTAGATCCATGCCTTTCATACCTGGTGTGTGGACATACTGTACCTTGAACAGAGGCTCCAGGTGGCGCAGCGGCTTGATTCGTAGTCAGCTCTGCCTCCTGAAATCAACAGGGGTATAGTTACATAAACTACGAGAAAAATTAAAAAAGTAACAGGCGCATAGTAAAAACATTACATTTTCCCTTTAGAGAAACTATTCATGAACATGAATAAATGTCAGTTCACTTCAAATTCACTTCAATGTTTGATCTAATAGGGCAGTTCAATGTAAACAACTTAGACAATTTAGAATCTCCAATTAACCTAAATATGTGTTGACTGTGTGAGGAAGCAAGTGAAAAGCTGGAAAAAAAACAAAAACATGCAGGCATGGGGAGAACATGCAAACTCCCAGGCAAAGATTTGAAAGCAGGATCACCTGGCCTTAAGCCAACAGTGCTAGCCACTGCAACACTGTGCCACCCTGGTGTAGACATGCAACATTTAGAAAGTTCAATGAGTCATATGGATTTAGAAAGGTTAGTAACAATGTTTCAGCAGAGGAAATGCTTCGGTTGCAGTATTTTTATGGGCATTACACAGTAATAAATCCATACTAATGTTTTGTAATTCAAGTGGTCTGAGAGGAAACTAGACTTCTGCTCCTTCTCCTGGCTCCATTGGCCAGCTTGAGAAAAGCTACCCTGTGATGAGAATCTTCAGGCAGCCAGAGGTCTTTTTCACCCAGATCAGGTGAGAGAGTGTAAATGGCAACACAGTCTGCAATTGAGAGGACGTGGCGGCGCAACAGGTTAGAAAGAGAACTTGGGTGATTTGAATCCTGGGTGAAATAAATGTTGACTTTTAGGTTGACTGTCTTTGTGTGGTTGCAGTGTGTGCTCATCTGGTAGAAGGAGCCGAGAACTGAGAGAGGAAAGGAACAAGCTTCAGGACTGGGGCTGTATATTTTCAAATGCTGCCAATATCAATCTATTATTTTCTGGCTTGTTTTTCATATTTTTCACATTTTGTAGTTTCAAGCACTAAAAATACAAAACCTCTAAAACAGTGTTGCCAATACGAAGCTGAAGTATTCAACTTTAAAATATCCCACTCTGTATGTATCTGGATCACAGTTCTTTTAACAAATGAGGTTCTTCTAAGTGGCAATACAAAAAATATATGTTTTTTATACATTTATACGAACATGAATTAATGTTTTAAGAATCACCTTCAAAAATCCAGTGAGTCCCCGTTTATCGCAATGGGATGTTAATTTGGATTGTACCTGTGTGACTGCATTGGCCGAGCTTCCCACAACTGCTTCATATGGAGGTGGGGGGTCTAATGGACAGAAGACTTCCACACCTTTGATCCGAGCCCCGTAGATATGAAGGAGAGGTATCACACTGTTCCCTAGCATCCTGCAACACACAACAAAGTCAAACTAATCAGTGACCTACCGTGTTCTCCCAAGAAAATCAGACACATCAAAACTAAAAACAAGACTGAAGTAAATATGTAAGTGAAAGCAAGGTGAAAATGCAGGTGCAGGAATGGGGAATGTAGCGTTGTAAGACCGCTGAACACAACTAAAATGATATCACTGACAGTGAGTGTGTTGGTAGGTACCGGCGAGACAGGCGTGGTGTGTATGAACAGAAAGTAGAGAAGTAAGAGGGAGGAGGGGCTGGGGCCACAAACTCATCTGGGTCAGGGGCCTGAGGAGGCTCTTCCATGTTCTCCACTGTGGCCCTGGGGTCATCCTGTCACACAGGAGGGATATTACAAAACACGATAAAGGTTATTGCATTAGTTTTACTTATCAGCTGGTAGCAAGCCACCAACACAGTTTATTAAGTCAAACAAAAAATAATAAATACAATAAAATGACATCATTTACCAGAAACTGCAATAAAAAACAAAACAAAAACTTCCCAATGGTCCTTGAATGATTTGCTTGTGATGTTCAATTCCAGCCAAACAAAAATTATACAAATGTAACATGTTAAAATTGCATCAAAATCCCTTCGTCTCATTTAAAAACTTCCCCAAAATGAAAATTTGTCAAAAATAAACCACATGTATCAGATTCTGTGAAAAACAAAAAAATTCTACCATCCTCAGCACTGAGAAGCCATTAATGACTCAGCTGTGACATAAACATAAAACCATACCAAACCAGACAAAAACCATAGAACCACCTTTTTTTTTCTCTCCAGGACTGGTAACACACACAGGCACATGTTGGTGCTTTTTGGCAAAATAAATCATCAAAGAAATTCAATCTTCCTTTTTTCTTTTTGATGATTTGAGTCATTCTAACTGTGTCATACTGCACAGAAGACATTTCTGATTTCTCTTTCCATATTTATGGCTGTTCTGTTTCCATAGGGGTGTAGGACTTTATACTGCAGTGAAAAACGAGCCAACACGAAGGAAAAATCAGACAGAAGCAAAAAATACAATAAAATAATCTAGACTCTAGTCTATAGTCTATAGTAAAGGGTATTGTCTGAAGCCCGTGCAATCACACATCACCAGAGCTTCGTGTGCGTGTGTGTCTGTGTTTGTGTGTGCGACATAAGGTTAATTTCCATCTGAACAAAAAACACAACAGTGGTCAACAGATATCCGCTATTCAGTCTTTCTGTAGAAATATGTAATGCTCACTGGTGACATATTGTATGTAAATATCTCTGTCTGACTCACTATTTGGTTAATTGTTGATGTGAGTGCTAAGATTGTGGAATTTTTGGAGCTACTGGCATCCCAGCCAACATGTGCCTCTGGGTTTAGTTTGGGCTGTAAGTGGAAATGTTTGACAGCTTTTTCGAATTTCCTCACATTTCACAGACAAAATCCCTACTGTACACTCGGCTATTTGAATATTTATTTTAAAATCCTACATCGCGTAGCCTGTGTTGCATTTGTGGCTCAGGCGGTAGAGCAGGTTGAGGTTGGTGGTTCAATCCCCAGCCCCTACGCATGCCAAAGTGTTCTTGGGTAAGACACTGAACCCTAAGTTGCTCCCAATGGCAGGCAGGCACCTTGCATTGCAAAGCGCTTTTAGTTACCACTAAGGTAGAAAAGCTTGGAAAATGCCCCAAGAACAAAAGTGAAACTGAAGACAGCAGCTGTAGAGGTTTGGCAGAAGATCAGAACTCTGCTCCTTGTAAATGAAATAATGAGAGAATAACAGACACCTGGCCATGGAGCAGCTAAGCAGCCAATTGTCCAGTTGCTTGTGGTCCCTTCAAAAGGTGGAGGGCACATATAAAATGTGTTGTAATTTCTACGCCATTCACCTGATTTGGATGTCAATACCCTCAAATTAAATCTGAAAGTCTGCACTTCAAGCACATCTTGATTGTTTCATTTCAAACCCCTTGTAGTGCTATACAGAGCTGAAATGCTGAAAATTGTGTCAGTGTCCAAATATTTCTGGACCTGACTGTAGGTAAAGTATCAGCCTTGCTGCAGTAGAGCAAACTATTCTTTTCTTGTTTAGTTTATATAAACCTTCAAAATGTTCAGTGCTGCTGGGTTACACATGATAAATGCATACACATTAAAATCACATGTCATTATAGGAGGAATACATGACTATATCAGATAAAAACAGAACTATGGTGTGATCATACCATGGAAGGTGTTCTTGCAGTGAAGATTTGCAGGTATCTCAGGGCAGCTGCCATGAGGCAAACAGCTGTGGTGAGAGCGCTCAGAGCACACAGTGCAAACAACACTTTCTGGGAAAGAAAAAGACACAGTAATATTGCTACAACAGGTATATTGTCCATATTCTTACCAGATGAAGAGCTCAGGATTAATGGGGTGCAAAGAATGGGGACAACTGACAGGTTACATGTACTTTGCTTAAACAAAAGTACAAAAACAAACTACAGTATATCATATTATTATGGGATCAAATTTGCTAAAATGTTGATAAATAACAGCTTCTGGCAGATACAGAGCACACAGACACATGCACATCTCAGTTCTTGGAAAACCCAGCGAGCTCAGGATTTTTGTTTCATGCTTTGTGCAGTTGTCACAGTGCACAGTATATATTCTCCATGTATTGATGTCCAAGACATAGAAATTAATCGTGACATTTTTGTTTTCTTTCTTTCCTGTTATACTTTTGTTGTCATTAGCAACTACCTCAGAATTCATAATCATAGATTTATACAGCAATGTTGCACTGTGAATTACATCTCTGCCACCAATAGTCTGCAAAGTTCTTCTGACCTGCTCATGTAATAGAAAATGCGAGACTTCTGTGATAATGTTGGATTTGTTAATAAAAGAAATCCCTATACATGGGACGCCAGGTGAGCTATAGCGGTGCCCACAAAAACATTTTTTGTTAAAGATATAAATCACTAGTCAGTCAGATGCTGAAGAGCATATTTAAAATGAATCTTTTCAAACATATATGTGACAACAGGGTGACATTTGGTGGGTCATCTCTCCCTGGTGCATTTACTTTTCATTGAGCAACAACTGTGCAAACACTTTAGCAAGTGTAATGTAAAAACAAAAAAAGTGAAGCATATCAGAAATAAACTTCATATTTTAAACTAAGTGCAAAATGATCTTTTATTTATAAGGTTTAATTTTAACTTTCTTCAAACCATAAAAACAATTACATGATCATTTCAAATGCATGAAGAACAAACAGAACATGTACTTAAAGTATACAATATGCAATATCAATTGAAGGCCAAATGATTTAACCTGAAAATAATGCATGATGGCTTTTTAATGTATTTTTTCTAAGTAGAACAGTAATTTCCTCTTATGAAAAACAAAGCACAAATACTCCCAAAAAACTATATTGAAGATACAAGCCCCAGAGTTAACTGTATTGAGAAACTCAATACAACAAAAGTTAACAAACCTGTTACTGAAACCTGTGATCGTTGAAACCAAATTGAGTGAAAATGGTCTATGATGCCAGAACTTTCTCCGTTTTGGATCTATGGGTTGTGTTTATCTGTATGTCTGCATTGTGGCTGACAAGGTGACTCCCAGTCTGTAGAAGATTGACAGAAGATAATATTCCAGGATGATAATTATCCAAAGCACACTGCCAAAATCACTTTGCTTCACACAGCATTAAAATACACAAAAAGTTGGATAAAACAACAAAAAGAAGTACAAACATCAGTAATAAACACTGCAACCCTAAAAAGACCAAAAATCAAGCATCTGAGTAGGAATAAAAGCTATATAAATGCTTGTCTGTAGTGGTGGGATTTTAACTGTTTTTTCAACTGAGAAACTGACTGAGCTGTTTGGACAGCCAGGCTGAGCATGTTCCAAAGTGTTAGGGCTAAAAAATTAAAAGCACGTCCCCCTTAGTTTTGAGCCTGGATTGTGGGATGTTTACCAGTAGCTGGATTTCAGATCTCAGGGGTCGTGGTGCAGAATATGACGTTAGAAGTTCTGATATATAGACCGGGGCCAGTCCGTGAAGAGATTTAAAGGTGAGAAAGATAAAGAGTTACAGTGGTCCAGGCGAGGGAAACTTAGAGTGTGTATAAACTTCTCAATCATGTATGTGACATGATTGGATCAGAGTCTTGATGTGCTGGTTAAAGTTGAGGCTGTGGTTAAAGACGACTCCCAAGTTTCTTGCTGCATGATGTTTTATATTGGTTGAAAGTGGTCTGAGGCAGGGGTTGACCATGTCAGAAATGTGATTGGGACTAGCTGTGAAGACATCAGTTTTATCTGTGTTCAGTTGTAGCACGTTGGCTGCCATGCAGTTCATAATTGCAGGGACGCAGTATTGCAGAGAGTATAGATTGTTCATATTGTTCAAAGTTCGACCAATATGTTAAATGTAAAACGGGAGGGAGTAGCACACTGAACTGTTTACTCTAACATCACCAAGGGATACAGAGCCTCTCCCCTGTCACATCTGGGCATGTCAGATCACTTGTCACTGCTCCAACCTTGGCTTATAGCCCTATATAGGCTGTGGTGATGGTGGCGCGCATAGATGCAGCAACCCCTCCAGGAGACAGCGAGAGTGAATGTTTTGAGTGTTTTGTCTATCCTAGATGTTCATTCCGCAAAACTTACAGCCGGGAGACTTTGACAGTGAACGGTGCTAAAATTGCGGCATTCGGTTATGATTTGGACATACTACACCAACACAGAATCCTTTCGGAGACTACATCGGCAGATACTCAAGAGAGAAGGAAGTGCAAACGGTGTGAACGTAAACAAAGGAGGAGGAAGAGAGCCGGGATCCATGCTAGGCTAAAGGCTAACCCCTCCAGACCAGCGGGATCCATGCTAGGCTAAAGGCTAACCCCTCCAGACCAGCGGGATCCATGCTAGGCTAAAGGCTAACCCCTCCAGACCAGCAGTACCATTGCCTCTACGCTCCACAAGAAGCTGGACGAGCTAGGTTTGCTGGGAGAGAGTGGAAAGACTATTGTGTGTTTGCTTTAAGAGAAACATGGCTCCATGACAAGATTCCAGACACGGCAATACAGCTGGAGTGGACAACATTGTTCCAAGCGGACGGACAGACGGCTAGCTCTGGTAAAAGCCAAGGTGGGGGGCTGTGCATCTATATAAACAAAGACTGGTGTGTAAATGCCACGTTAACCTCTAAACACTGCTCTCAGTTGGCGGAGTTGGCCATTCTACCTGCCACGGGAATTCACCAACGTGACTGTAGCCGTTGTTTACATAACTCCAAGCGCTAATGCTAACGAGGCGCTAGGAGGGCTACATGTTGTCATCAGTGAACTTTTAACTAAACACCTAGAGAGCTTTATAGTGGTTGCAGGGGATTTTAAGTGTGTACTCCCAAGTTCAAGCAATTTGTGGACGTTAAAACCAGAGGAGAGAACATACTGGACTTGGTGTATTCAAACTTCCCTGATGCATACACAGCAACCCGCTGCCCCCACCTCGGCCGCTCTGATCATCTTTCTGTTATGCTGGTGCCCGTTTTCAAACCCCTACTGAAGAGCAGTGCACAATGCGTAGGGAGAGTTGTCTGTCTGTATCTCAATCCATGTGTCAATGTGTAAAAGCAGGTGTCAATGCGGACCAGAATCTACAAAGTTGCCTCACAATCTGTCTGTCTGTAATCAGGTTTCAAATGTGTAAAAAATCTGCTCATCTGTATAAAATTCAGACATGTAATAAGAGTTGTCAATGCGTACAAAGAGTTGTCCATACGTACAAAATATTCGTTGTTGAAAAGTCTGTGTATTTGAATACAAGCAGTGACAATACAGACAAATCACCAGTTAGGAGACGAGCGGCTTCACCATTGGCTGTCATTTCACGCACGACCTTTGCTACACTTCTGCCATGAGAGGACCTGAAACTGAAGAGTATCTGAAATTCAGGGTTTCTTTGTCCTGAGCTCAGGCTCACAGGATTGTTCATTGTGGCTGTGTACCACTCTGCTGCAAAACACACCTACACAGAGAAATCCAGGAACGCCTCTGTGACACAGGAAACACCAGGTGAATGTTGCAGGGAGTCCAGGAGCTGACGGTCTACAAGACTAGGCAGGGGGTCGACGATGATGACGAAGACAGGCTCAACAACTTCTTTGCACGCTTTGAAGCATCGAACCCGACAATCCGAGAGAGGGCTGGTCCTTCCCTTCATCTGTCGGGCCAGGTTTCACCATAAACGCAGCAGACACACGGAGGACCCTAACTAGGGTCAACCCACGAAAAGCGACAGGACCAGACAACATCTCGGAACGTGTTCTCAGAAATCTGCACTGACCAGCTGGCAGATGTGCTGACTGACATTTTCAACATCTCCCTCAGTCAGGCCATTGTCCCCAGATGCTTCAAAACATCCACCATAGTTCCAGTGGCAAAGAAATCAGTTGTAGCCTGTCTGAATGACTATCGCCCCATCGCACTGACACGATTGTGATGAAGTGTTTTGAACAGCTTGTCAAACCACACATCACAGCCAGCCTTCCTGCATCGCTTGACCCCCTTCAGTTCGCTTACCGTTCCCGTTCCAGCCGCTTCACAGAGGATGCAAAACCCACCACCTTGGACTCAGTCATCACCCACCTGGATAATAAAGACACCTACGCTAGAATCCTGTACATTGATTTCAGCTCAGTGTTTATGACCATCATCCTCCAGAGACTAAAAGAGAAACTCCTCCTACTCTGTGCATGTGGATCAAAGACTTTCTACCAGCAGTTAGGCTAGACTTCGCCCACACTTCTCCACCAACCGGTCCCTCAGCATCAATGCATCCCAAGGCTGTGTGCTGAGTTCTCTGCTCTGCTCCCTCTACACATCTCACGGCATTGCCCACACCCTTCAAACACAATAATTACATTTGCAGATGACACATTAGTGGTGGGTTTCATTACTAACAATAATGAGACAGCCTACAAGGATGAAGTCTGCAGTCTGACAAAACAGTCCACACACAACAATCTTACGCTGACTTCAAAAAGACAAAAGAAACCATTATTAACTTCCGGAAGTACAAGGATGACCTTGCATCGCTAACTATTTAAGGGGAGGAGGTGGAGAGGGTCTCCTCCTTTAATTTCCTGGGGACCCACCTGTCAGAGGACCTTACATGGTCAGCAAACACGGCTGCACTGGTAAAAAAAAAAAAAAAAAAAGGCTGAACAGTAGCTCTACAAAACATGCTAAGTCAGCAGAGCAAGCATCATCCTTTAAGATGGAACCCATCCCTCTCATCTTCTGATTTTACTCCCACAAGAAAACAGACAAACCCTAATTTTGTCAGCTCAGACTACTGATGGGTGATGTCACTGGTGCCGATGTAGACTACTATGTTATGTTAATAACCCGTCAGGAATGAGTTCAGGAGTCGAGGGAGTTTGTTGAGGAAGCCAGGTGTAGTAGCTCCAGGAAAACAGAGTGTAATTGCATTTGCAATTTTTCTGATGATGGAGTCTCTGATGATTAGGGTCGTGGGGAGAAGAAAGGGAGTGGGAGACAGGCCGACAGCAATGCCCGACAAACTTTCTGGGTGGGCAGGATGATGTCGGACCTCGGGACTGGGAGTGACTAACCTTTTGGTTTGCCAGGGAGAGTGGCGTGCAGCAGATCCCTGGGCAGCCACAGCAGTGGGTTGTTCTTATTACAGCACTATGACATAAGAACTGTGTGTGTATAGGTATGCTCAGGTACCATTAAAATACAGGTTGGAGATTTGCTCCTTGCACAGGATATTTTTAAGCGGTGGGCAAGAGGTTTTAAGGGCGATGGAGGAGGCTGGGGGTGAAAGCTATGAAGAGATCTGGGGTACAGTGACAACAGTTTTAAAAGGTTGCTATGCCCAAAGAGCATTCTGCTGTTCTTTTGAGATACGGCAAATACTACATAATCTAAATATAAAATCAGAAATAGAAAATTTGTCCAAACTATTTAAAGGTGTTGTAATGAGAAGTAAATTGTCATCAAAAATAATATTCACCGTGTTGAAAACACACAGAATTATCTGTAAAACCTAACGGGAGATTTAGTGCATGTTTTTCTTTTGTGGAATATCCAGTGATTATAAATCTGTACTTGGTGTGTGTAAATACCGTACATGTGCACTTCTACTCAGGATGTATTCACTACTAAGCTCACACCGAATACTCGTGTATACTGTGCAACATTGAGATGTACCTTCAGCAGAATCCTCATGGTGTTGCAGGAGTGAGCAGGATAGAGCTCCAGCAGCTTGTCTTCAGGACATTTGGATGTGGGGGAGAGAGAGCAGCAGTAACACACATCTCCAGCCTCACTCTGAAGAGAGAGAGAGACAGAGAGAGAGAGAGCTTAAAATAAAACATGGGAAGAGTATATTAAGCAGCAGCACATACTAATCCACATTGTTAAAGTGGAAAACTTGGTGTGGATGTTTTTCATCATGTCCTAACTTTTAATGAGCTTACAGCTTGGGGCTTACCAAGGCTTTTGGGTTTTCACTTTCATTAATGTGCATATCTAAATATTGTAGAATGTAAACAAATTCCCTTTTAATGTAATATTTATAAAGACTGGTCCATGATGTTAGCCTACTCATTAATATTCTGTCTTTCTTTAATGGTAGCCAAACACCTTCATTCCTATATTTGATAGTGATACACAGAAAAGGCCTATTGCAAACCACTTGATTTAGCTTTTATGCATCATTAATTATATTATTAGGAATATGAATAATATGAAACCAGATGAAGAGTGTTTGTTCCATTGTACTTGTTTGGAGTCATTTATGATATAATAACTGTTAGTTTGTCGTTATTTATCTGTGGAGTAGCAGCACGTTTTCCACAGACAGTTTTACTGTCTGCTGGCTTGTTGTAATCAGTTTTCGGGTTACCGTAATAAGGACCTTCAGCTGATTGTTCCAGCAGACACTGACAGAATCTGTTCGGTAAGTAAATGTTCATTTTCTTATTGATGTTTTTAATACACTTCATATGCAGCTTTAGAGTCAGATAAAATGCATGCAGTGTACTCCAGAAGGAGGTGCAGTTTGCTTTATATAATCAGGCCAAAGTGTGTAGTGTTACTGTAATGAGCTACTTGCGATATACACTTTTGAGTGCATTTTTTGTTGCCTGTATTGGTAACTGTAGCCATTGGCTGGGTACAGATATCGTCAGGTGGTGTTCATCTTTCCTTGAGTGTTTCAGCCCTCCAACCACTACACTCTCCAGTTGGCGGGCCAGCAGTGATTGGCCAAATCACTACCTATCTGTTCCTGGCCTCCAGCTTTCCTCCTCGCTTTTGCTCCACAGCCAACAGGAGGCTCGTTTTGCCTCCTCCCCATCCTGCCAGCAGCTTGCTTTTTGCTTCTCCTGTCAAATCCAAGTTCTAACAGCACCTGCCATGCTGACTTGACAGGGATGCATCTGCAGTCCATCTCCACCACGAGGAGCCACACCTGCCAGCCCTTGTCCCTGCAGTTTTGAACCAGGGGCTGGCACTTGAGGGCCTTCCTCTCATGGGCTTCATCACAACCCTCCTCCCATGGGATCATTAGCTCAACCAGGATCATCTTCTGGTCTTTGTTTCACCACAGCATGATATCTGGTTGGAGGGTTGTGTACAACACCTCTGGGAACTTCATCCATCTCCCAACATCAACCGCCATCTCCCAGGAATTTGCGGTGTGAAGCAGGTCTGTTTTGTTGGAGGGCCCGGCACCCTCCTTAATGAAGATGATTGTTTGTTTGGTTGTGCAAACCAGTTTCTTTTTGTACCATTTAAATTAACTCTGGTTATACCATGGTCTGGGTGAATACTCGATTCTGATTGGCTGCAGGGTGTCCATTAAAAAGTGATATAGGACACCTATAAAGAAGTTCCGGTCAAATAACCTGATTGTTCTAAATTAATGCGCTGACTCAAACGGTAGTTGGTAACCGTGGCAACAGAAACTCAGAACATACGTTAAATATATTTATATTTCGCATCATCCTCTGGACACACACAAGCGGTAAGAGGTGCACTGCCCTCACGTTAAGCAATCATCTCACTTCCCTCCACTTAGGCCTAATATAACAGCTGCGGCCGACCGGTTACCTTGGCAACGCGTCACAACGAGAGACATGAAATAGTCCGCTCAGCCGCTTGTTGTGGAAAACTTACGATTTTAACGGTAAAAAACATTAACGTATTAATAATTGATTTAATATTTATTTAGTAATATCTTTCGTAAGTGACCATGGTATAAGCGGGAAGCAACCGTCCTCCGCTTCGCGTCGGACGGTTCACGCCTCCGCTTCGCGTCGGACGGTTCACGCCTCCGCGTCGTCCATTAATTTCTGATAATGGACACCTCGTCGGGCATTATCCCTTACTTAATTCTGCTGTTAATGCTGATACTGTGATGTCTTTCTTCATCTCAGGTGTGGTTCATATTCACTGTGAGGATCTTCTGAGTGAAGCTAACAGAAGGAACCCTGGAAAGATTTCCTATTTCATGTATAATTTTCCAAGCACTTGAAGAAAAAGGCCTGAAATTGCTTTACACTTAGGGGAAAGGATTTCTTTTTCTGCAGCTTATCTGTGCTGCATTCTAATTGTCGTATGTAACTGTAGTCTCACTAACTACTTTGGTCATATTCTGGGTGTTTATTCTTCCAATCTATCTATCTATCGACTGCAGTAAGAAAGTACTATCAGAACAAGATCTGTGGCACTACAGATGCTCGAAAAATATTTTCTGCTTTTAACTCACTCCTCCATCCACCTCCTCCACCACTCTCCACTCTGCTCACTGCTGACGTGTTGGCCCTCAAGTCTCTGTCTGACCAACTCACTGTTCAGCCACCAGATCATAGGGCCATATTCTCCTCGTTCTCCCCTCTGACTGAGGAGGAAATCTCCAAGCTACTGCTGGACTCTTGTCCTACTACCTGTCCACTGGACCCGATACCATCCAACCTCTTACAAACCATTTCCTCGGCACTTAACCCTGCAACAACACATATCATCAACTCCTCACTTGCTACGGGTGGGTTCCCTGCTACATTAAATCAAGCTCGAGTCACTCCAATTACTCAAAAACCTACACTCGACCCAGCCCAGGTTGAAAACTACAGACCAGTTTCACTCCTGCCCTTTCTGTCTAAAACACTTGAGCGAACTGTTTTCAACCAAGTCTCTACTTCCCTCTGTGACAACAATCCGTATGACCCATATCAGACTGGTTTTAAACAGGGTCACTCTACTGAGACTGTACTCCTATCTGTAAGAGAATCTCTGCGTTCTGCTAGGGCTGCTGGACAGTCTTCAGCTCTGTTGCTGTTTGCTCTGTCAGCTGCCTTGGACATGGCTAACCATCACATCCTCCTCTCCACACTCACTGAGCTTGGCATCTCAGGATCTGCCCTCCGCTGGTTTGTGTCCTACCTCTCAGGAAGATACTTCAGAGTATCCTGGAGGGGAGAAGTGTCTGAACCTCACAGTCTATCCACAGGGGTTCCTCAAGGGTCAGTGCTTGGTCCCTTTCTCTTGTCAATTTACACAACCTCACTTGGTGCAATATTCCACGCCCATGGTTTCTCATATTATTGCTATGCTGATGATACCCAGCTCTTCCTGTCGTTCCCCCCAGACGACCACACAGTCTCTGCCCGGATCTCATCATGCCTTGCAGATATCTTGGCATGGATGAACTAGGGCTGGTCTGAGTAGGGGCAGGGCGCAAGGTGCAGTCAGGCTCTGACGGGCCGGAGTGGGCTGTGATGCACAGGCCACATTTGAATACTGAGAAAAGTTTCTGTGTTTAGCTTAGTGGTGACGGCACCATTTCCGCGACTGCTGCGACAGCAGGGGGTATTCGGAGATCAAGTTTGATATCCTGATTCCAGCACAGCGAACGAATAGTTGGCTATTCGGGTCCAGCCCTACCTTCAACTTAACCTCTCTAAGACTGAGCTCCTTGTCATCCCAGCCAGTCCCTCTCTACAACAGAATCAACATCCAGCTTGATTCAAACCAACTCAAACCCACAAAATCTGTCAAAAACTTGGGTGTCATGATTGATGACCAACTAACCTTCAAGGTTCAAGTGGCCTCTGTTGCTCTGTCATGTCGATTCACCCTGTACAGCATCAGGAAGATCAGACCTTTCTTTTCTGAACATGCAGCACAACTCCTGGTACAGGCTCTAATAATATCACGCATCGACTACTGCAACTCCTTACTGGCAGGCCTTCCCGCATCCATGGTCAAACCTCTCCAAGATGCAGCAGTACATCTGGTTTTCAACCAGTCAAAAACAGCACATCACCCTGCTGTTCAGATCGCTTAACTGGCTTCCAGTTGCTGCCCACATCAAATTCAAAACTCTGACACTTGCTTACAAAACCACAACGAGAACAGTTCCCTCCTACCTGAACTCTGTCATTCAGGTCTACACTCCCTCCCGCTCACGACACTCAACCAACAAAACCCGCCTGATACAACCACCACAACAGGGCCTGAGGTCGATAGCTGGACTCTTCTCCTCTGTGGTTCTGCGGTGGTGGAACAAGTTACCAAACTCTGTTCAATCTGCTGACTCCCTCTCAGTCTTTAAGAAAAGGCTAAAGATCCAGCTCTTCACTGAACACCTTTGCACTAAGACTGAAAAAAATACAATAAAATAAAATCCTTTTACCCTTTTTCCTGCTATTGGCATCAACGCCCTATCACACCTGAACTTGGCACTTGTCTAAGTTGTTTTCTTCTGACTAAATCCTTGCCTGTGTTGTATCTACTCTCAGATGTACGTCACATTGGGTAAAAGCAAAATGAAATTGTAGAATTGTAGAATTCTGGCTGGAATGTGATGGTAACCCTCCTTTGTCATTATTTGATTTACTTTGTGGAAAGCACCAGTTCCACTGTCAGTGAAACAGCCCCAGAGCATAATACTACCACTGCCATGCTTAACAGTATTTTGGGTGTTCTAGGGATTAAAGGCCTCACCTTCTCCTCCTCCAGTGGACTGAGGTTTGCTGCTAATGACATGGACAAAGAAAAGGCTTTCTGTAGGAAATGTCTGTGGTCAGATAAAACATTGAGCAATTTGGCCACAATGACCAGAAATATGTTTGGAGCAGAGAAGGTAAGGTCCTTAACACTAAGACCACCATGCCTGTTTTGGTGCCAGTGGAATGGGTGCTTTACACAAAGTAAACAGAATAATGAAGGAGGAATATATCCACATTCTTCAGAAAAACCTAAAGTAGTCAGCCAGAACCCCATCAAGAACCTGTGGAAGAAACAGGTCTGTGTCAGAAAGCCAACAAATAATGTTTAACTTAACAAATTCCATCAAAAGAAGTAGTCCAAGATAAAACCAGAAGCATGTAGATGACTACAAAAGTGCCTAGTTGAGATGAAAATGGCCAAAGGATGTTTAATCAAATATTATATCTGTGTGGATATTTTTGACCCAGACTGCCACACAAATCGTCTTTCCATGTGTACAAAAACTTTTAATCACAACTGTAGCTAGTCTTGGTTGAATTGCCTTTTCCTGTGGTACTACTGTAAGGAACTTTGGAGTTATTTTTGATCAGGATATGTTCTTCAACTTACATATAAAACAAATCTGTAGAACTGCCTTATTTTGCCTGCACAATGTTTTTGCTAACCTGGGCTACAGCAATTTTTTTTGTCAGAATTTCCAAAAACCTCTCTGAAAAGCCTTTAGTTGATCCAAAATGGGACCAACTGGATTTTAGTTGAAAATAATAAGAGTTCAAGATGTCACCTTCTGCTGACATTCCACAGGATGAACAGAGGAAATAAATAAGACCATAAATTAAAAAGAAAACAAAAATCTGTAAATGTCAAGTGCAAAACAAGGCTGACATAGAAAGGTAAAAGCCTCACCAGTTGGCAGCTGGTTGTACTGGAAACCAGCTGGGCTCCCTGGCAGCACATGATGAATCCAGCCAGATTAAGGAACACACACACCACAGACAGCAGGATAAACACATTGACCTAGAGGGGTGCGAAGGATTGAAATGGAGCACAGGCCATACGCAAACACAGAAAGATATGAGATGACATATTAGATTAAAGCCTTGGTCACAACCAGCTGTACGCGCTCCTACGGCTGTGGCTCAGGTGGTTGAGCGGGTTGCCCTCTACTCGCAAGGTTGGTACTTCGGTCGCACGTCCCTCCACAGTCGAAGTGTCCTTGGGCAAGACACTGAACCTGAAGTTTCTCCCAATGGCAGGCTTGCACCATGCATGGCAGCTCCTTCGCCATTGGTGTATGAATATGATCTACTCTCAGATGTACGTCACTTTAGGTAAAAGCGTCTGCTAAATTAAATTGTAAATTGAAAATTGTAAATTGTTTGCATCCAAAATAGGTGCAAGATAGTACGTGCCACGCAAGTCCGTCTTGCGAACAAAATGAACAAAATCGAATGCACGGTGGGCGTGCGTCACCCCACGCCAGGAGTATAAAAGGTATGCTCACGGCACACGCTCGTGTTTCGGACTTACGATCCCAAAAGTGATGCATCCGGTTGTGACCAAGGCTTACAGTCCAACTCTAAATACAGTGCCTTATAAAACTACCGCATGGGGGTGAACTAGGATCAAGGTTCACCCTGCAGGGCAATGACCCTAAAATTGTTAAAATTCCAGTAAAGTGATTTAAAGGGAAACTTTCAAATGTCTTGGGAATGGCCTAGTCAAAGCTCAGGCTTTAACAGGACTGAGAATCTGTGGCATGATTTCACAATTATGTACACCAGCACAACTAACTAAATGATCTGAAACAGTTTTACCATGAACAATAAGAAAGAAATCCAAGTGACTTGATGGGCTGCACGAATAAGGAATCTTGAAGTGATACTTTCAATAAAAGGAGGGTCAAAGAAATGACGATACCCCTTGGTACCATTTATTTAGTGGTTGTTGAGATAGTGGGGTACTTGGAAGGAATTTCTGTTTTCTTACACTTTTCTACCTGTCTACTATTTTTCTTGGTCTGATTTGTCCAATACTGACTGGTTTCCTGCCTTGTTCTCAACATATTACTCTGGATCTTGTGCTGCCTGCTACCAACCCAGTCTCACGGCAACTCATGGAATAGTCACGAAACTTAATCTATTGATTCATGTCCAGGGACACAAATTGCCCAATTTTTTCATGTCCCCCACCATGAATTTCAAACCAATACATTTCAATTGGAATTATCTTTCGTGTCTGGGCCACGTTTTTTCCCCTATCAGACAGCACATATACTGTGATGTTTTTGTTGTTCTTCTCTTCCAACAGTCAGGCATTAACCAATTTTACTGTTATGACCTGTCCACACTAATAACTATAGAGATCACTATAAAGATGTGTGCGCCCACACTGACCAACGTTAACATTCTGTAAACACCGGCGCTGAGCAGGCACCATGTGCTCCAGCTGCGTATAAGTTCCGTATCCATTCATATAAAAGGCAAAAAATATCCAGGCATTTTTTGGATGAAGTGAACACACGTTGAGAATCTTCATGGTTACATTCTGAAATGTTTGGCAAAGTTTTAATTTTTTACCCCTCTGGACCCAGCCCTGTGTAAGGTGGAGTTTTCCAGGAGATGTGTGAAGGTCAATTGGAAAAAATGAAATTAAAATGATTTTGTTTTATTATTACTGTATATTGTTATCCCATTTGATTGTCAGCCTCTGTGTGTTTAGCTTCATGTCTTCAGTATTTGTTGCTTCCCTTCTGTTAGTTTTGTCTGGGTTTTTCTGTGTTCTGACTCCTCAGTTTACTTGGTCTTGAGATTACTTTGTTAGTTGCTCACTCTCCCTTGTTCACTCCCCCAGGTTATTTGGTTATTTGTCCTTGATCCCTGCATTTAGTTATTCACTGTGTATTTGCACTTTGATTTCACTTTGTAAGTCACCTTTGTAAATAAGCACCTCCTCCACATAATCTATGCACACAATGTGCACCTGGGTTCTCCGTAAACCCCTGTGACAGTTGGCTCTTCATGAAACATTGCACTGCACTGCAACTACAGCTTTACAAAAGCAATCACCACCATATCTCTTACCAGTAGAAGCATGGGTCTCCTCCATGTTGTGAGGCCTACGATGCCGGACAGAATGACCTGGTGGGACATCAATAAAAATAATGTTCATGTGGTTTAACATTCTGTTAAAAAAATACAATAGGCGATTATACAAAGCATGATGCACATATCTACAAAATGCATTAATAAAACTTTGAGCAGTCTAGTTTTAAAAAGGCCATAAGTACATTAGCACAATATCGTTTGACAATTGTATAACTTTGAGTCAATCTTAGTTGTGTTTTCTCTCCACCATTCTTTACATTGTATATGAAGTAAAAAAAAAAAAAGTCCTTGACCCATGTGAAATCCAAAAGTCCAGAATGCAGTGGTACAGTATGCTGACTAATAACTATGATCCACATATTGCACGGCGACTGCACACCAACCTCGGATCCCTTCACCTGCCTCCCAGTGCCCCACGCTCCCCGGTTTCCCTGAAATAAACCTATTTACCCTTTACCCTGCTCTCTGTTCGTTTTGGGTCTGGCACACACACCTTTTAAAGGTCATAACAAGGCCATAACAAACACTCCTTTGTCAAAACATTGTATGGAAAAATAGTTTTGTGTTTACTCTCATACTATAAGTCCTCACTCTTGTATTTCTCTGACAAGATGTGAGACAAATTATGCCTTTCTTCCTATAACAACAGATTAGAGTTTATCAACAAGCAAAGAGCTTCATGTTTCATTTTTTTTAGGTCAAGGATGTTATTTCACTCATGTCTTGGGGCTACTGGGTTATGTTACTATGAGGTCTATGAGAATGTGGGAAAATGTGTATAGGTGTTGGTTAGGTAGTTGACCAGAGAGAAAAAGAGAGAGAGATCTTTCACTGTGGAGAGGTACAATAAATTAAAAAAGCCAGTCCCTATTGGTCATTAGTCAACAGGGGGTGGTGTAAGTATATGTAAGACATTCACTTCACTCTAAAACTCAGAGGCTACATTCATCTTTTACAGGCTCTCTACTCTCTTGTCTATGAGTTTTGGACTTGTTTCTCACTGCTCATCTTTTCTCTCTCTGCCATTGCCTCATCCTCTTCAGCCTGGTTCTATTTATTTATTTATTTTTTTTTAATTTAACCTTTATTTAACCAGATGAGTCCCATATCTCTTTTACAAAGGAGCCCTGGCCAAGAGGGCAGCAACAAGGGTTACAACAATACAACACAAAAAATATAATAAATATATATATATAAACACAACAAAGTATAAAAACATGAAATACATACAGCACACAGCAACTCAGTTACAGCAGCTACGGACTTCTGTTTTTACAGACTAACAAACATTTCTGATCATTTGATTTGAGATTTCTTCCTGTTAAAAGGTAGTTTTTGTTTTCTTTCCTTCAACTGTCACCAAGTATTAGGAATAGATCAAACATCAGACTGACCGATGATTGCTCCCAATATTGGCATTTTATGATTATCAGTATTGTCATTATGAGCAGCCAATTATCAATAAATTAAATGTGCTACTTTCTTTCTGATGCAGTCTTTCTCTGTCTGAACTGTCTGTGGTCTAAGCAATATCCTTTCCACAGCTTTATCTGATTGGTTATGCATTTATGGACATTTGTAGAGAGCAGCTGTTTCAAGGGTGAGTTAGTAGATATTGTTGACGTTGTAATAAACACCATGGTCCTTCACAAGCATGCCCAGTTTCCCTGTAACACTGAAAATGCCTAAATGTTTCACTTGTTGGTGTCAGTGCAGCTGGAATGTATTTTGCTGAAAATGCCAGACTGAGGACATTACGATGAAGCTAGCTGTCAGGCCTGTGACTAACGCTATCATGAGCTTCAATTAATTATAATCATATAATAGTTACCTGCTTTTACAGTGGCTAAGGCTAATTGCTACCAGCTAAGGTAAGGCTAATTCATGTCCGGTTGTTTTCCTGGCACATTCAGTGTCGACATGCTTGCAGACACTCCGTACGGTCACAAAATTTGGCCTGCACACAAACAGTCTACATGGACTAAATTCATGTCATGTGTCCCCCTGAGGACACGGAAAACATGAATTGGAAAACAGTAACTAATGCTTTAACATACAGGCCTTAATGTGCAAAAAAGGAGAGAGATGAGAGTAGAGGAGAAGAACCTAAAGGGGAGCACAGGCTGATAATGGTGAGTATCCATGAACAATTTTAAAATGATTAGGGTGTAGGAAATTGAAAGCAACAATCTCATCATTGTTTCTATTTGTAGGTGAAGACTGACTTGAGAAACAGGCTGCAGGGGATCAGCTTCCATCCTGCATGCTGCTGAGCATCAGAGGTCACCTCTTGGAGAATTTCCCTACAACAGAGCCTGAGAGCTCTTCTAGAAAAAACCCAGAAAAATTCATTATTCTGAGCCTAGGTGCAAACTTTGCCACGGATTCTACAGCCCCACAAAGAAACTGTTATTTATTGTTTTTTATTTTTATTTATTTAATTTTATTGTTTCATTTATTTATTTTTATATCCAGCCTTTAAAAAGCCATTTTCAACAGGCCATTCAATAAAATGTTGTAAAAGTAAAATATGCAGTCAAATGTCATTTGTTTACGTCGCCACCTCTCCCCGGAGAGCCTGCCCCCGCTGGAAACACTGATACAAGGTGGAATGATGCTTTCATGTTCTTCATACCAAATTCTGACTATCTGAATGTGGCAGATAAACTTGTTAAAAATGATAAGCCATCAATCGATCACTTTTCTATGCTCTGAAATGTGTTCAAATTTAGCCTTTGTATGTGTCAAAACCGGGCTGCAAGGTGGTGCAGTTGGTAGCACTGTTGCCTCGCAGCAAGAAGGTTGCCGGTTCGCGTCCCGGTGGGGGCACCGGAATCTTTCTGCATGTTCTCCCCGTGCAGCGTGGGTTCTCTCCGGGTTCTCCGGCTTCCTCCCACACAGTCCAAAAACATGTTGAAGTTAATTGGTGATTGTAAATTGTCCGTAGGTGTGAATGTCAGTGTTCTTGGTTGTCTGTCTCTAAGTGTGGCCCTGCGATAGACTGGCGACCTGTCCAGGGTGTCTCCTGCCTTCGCCCTAAGTCAGCTGGGATAGGCTCCAGCCCCCCCACGACCCTAGTGAGGATTAAGCGGTGTATAGATAATGGATGGATGTGTCAAAACCCCTCAGCCCATGCCTGTCTCCCTCTCCCTCTTTTCTCCCTCCTCTCTACCTCTCTCTCTCCTCCTTGCTCACCCTCTCAATCACTAACTGATTACAGCTATTGGAGACAGCTGTGGCCATCAGCTCACCTCAGCCCAATCACCACAGCTCTCATAAAACCTGTTCATTCCACCACACCCTGCCAGACCAGAGACCTTCATCCCTCTTGTTTCTGCTGGTCCCTGCTCTGCCTCCTGCCTCTTCTGAGCCGCTGCCACCTGGAACCCCCTGCATCAGCAACACACTCTCCACCTGGATCCTCCCCCAGCCAGTCTTCTCCTGCCTCTGATCCCCAGCCTGTTTCCTGGCTGCGTTCCCCGAGCCAGCCTGTGTCTGCCCCCAGCCTTGTTCCATCTTTTCCCCAACACTCACCAGATCCAAGATTCCCCAAGCCTGTCTGCCCCCCTTCAGTTTTGTCCCTTGTCCTGTGAGTATCTCCGTTTTGTTGGTTTAGTTAGTTCATCCACATTAGTTTCCCCTTGTTTTTCCTTCCTAGTCTTGCCCCTTTCCTGAATTTAGTCTAGTTTACACTGTTCTGTGCCCCCCCAAAGCTCTTGACTTCTACTATCATGTAGGCTGTGGTGTGATGTTTTCACCAGCAGGGGGCATCACAAAATGTGGTGACATTTAATTTCTCTCTCACACACACACATATATATATATCAATTTTAGTTGTAAATTCAGTCCAAATTTGGGTGTTCATCAATTTCACCCTCCATTTAGGAGAAACGGCTATTTTGAAGAACTACAACTTCCGGTAGCTTTACAATACTGGACACGCCATGAAATATGTAGTTCTTCTTGGGGTTTACAAACTAGGGTTGTTTTTGTATTATTAAACTAAAATAAATGGAATGAAGTACTGACACGTGTGCTACTGTTAAAGTATGATATGTTGTTATAATTACCAGGCCAGGATATGTGTAACAATCACTGAAATGTTGCAGACAGTTGTAGATCGATGGACGGACTGTAAATCCAGCTCTTTGGGGTCGCATGAAACAATAAGGTGGTTAAAGAAAGTTCCAAAAGATAAGAATAAAAAAGGGTTAGAGAGACTTGTAGACTGGACAACAGAAATGCAGGAGAAAGGAATGTTTGGAGATTGTGCCACTCCTCTACCAGCACAGACAGATTTCACCGTGTCTGAGGCAGGCAGAGGGGAGTGTGAGGGAAGATAAGAGGGAATGCAGAGAAAGGTAGAGAGGTTTCTTAGTGGATTGAGAATGTTTTTTGGTTGCGAGAAGATAGACTGAGCAACTGGATCCATAAGACACACTGTGACTCAAGACCCTACAGAGAGAACATTGACTGAGGTTTGGTATGACTTAGGAACCTCACTGACTGACAATGATCACAACTCTGGAAATGAAACCCTACCAGAAATTAGAAAGAACTCAACTGATGAAGTCCTCCAAAAAAAGTCCACTATGGAGATTAGGTTGTAGTAAAGATAATTAAAGCCTCAGCTTCAGAAGTAACCTCATGGCAGTCCCCCACTTATCATGACTCTATTCCCACAGGTGTAAAAGTAGCACATTTGACTTATATCAGAAATCCCCGACCTACATAGATGTAATTGGAGTCCACAGAGGTGCACCTGATGAATATAAACTGGTTGATCAAGTCATTGCAGGGTTTGAGACATCCCTGTTTTGGTGGGGGAGCATAAACAAAAATGTGGACAGAATTATTGACATTCATTCCAATGTTCAAAGGCTTAATAATATGACTAGAGATGCCATTGCTGGAATATATGAACAACTGGCTGATACTTCCCTGATGACTTATCAAAGCAGAATGGCCTTGATTTCCTGCTAGCTGAAAGACGAGGTGTGTGTGCTACATTTTCCCAAGACTGCTGTGTGTTC